TGTTAATGGGTGTGTGTGTGTGTGTGTGTGTGTGTGTGTGTTTTCTTATTTGAACTTGGAAAGCTGTTCAAGATTGGTGTTTTCTTTGTAGAAGGTTTAAAAGTATTGATTTGACTTACGGCAATTCAGATTTTTTTTAAATGGGTTGTTCCTTATAGTAATTTTTTTACTTCTGTGTTTTCAAATTTATTGAATTAGATTGTTTATGCTCTTTGCTTAATGGTGTTGTAGTTTTGTCTTAATTTCTCATTCTCAGATTTGTTTTTTGTTTTTTCTTTCTTTGGTTTTATTAGTCTTTTCAAGGCCTCGTTAATCCTTTCTATTATGTGTTTATTTTTAATTTTTTTAGTTGTATATGGACATAACATCTATATTTTATTTATTTATTTTTAGGTGGTGCTGAGGATCAAACCTAGCACCTCACACGTGCAAAGCAAGCACTCTACCACTGAGCTACAATCCCAACCCTATTATGTTTATTTTCAATTTAAATAATTTTATTCCCTAATGCTTTTGCTTTCTTCTTTCTACTTTGAATTCTCTTTGTCTAATGGTTTTGGAGGGTGGGGAGAGAAAGAAAAAGAAAGAAATATGGGATTGCATTTTGTTGCCCATGCTGGTTTTGTATTTCCTCCCACTTAGTGATCCTCCCACTTAAGCCTCTTAAGTATGATGGGCATACAGGTGTATACCACTTTGCTGGGCTTAGTGTTTTATGTTGTATGTTTAACACTTTAATTTCTAGCTCTTTCTTTCCCAGTGTAAATATTGAAGGCTCTATTTTTTTTTGTGTGTGTGTAAGTGTACTGTTTTAGGCTATATCCTGGAAATATTGATAAATACTATTTTTTTAAAATATGGGGTAGTTCTCTTTTTCTAATTATCTTATTACTTTTATCGTTTGAATTTCAGAGTTTTGGGGCTTTTCTTCTAATCTACCTTTTATCAATTACTCTGTACATGCACATTTGGTTTTTATGTTCCCAATACTTTGGATTTTATGACTTGACATGTTATCAAAATCTGTAGTTTCAATGTGTGTTAGAAAATATATTCTTCAACTCTTAGGTACTGAGTGTTATATATGTATATTGTTCAATTATATTACCTTTTTTTTTTAAAAAAAAAGTATTGATTACTGAGAGATAAACTTTCTAGAAATGTGAATTTGTGTCTTCTAAATTTTGGCTTTCTGTAATTCGAGATCATATTATTAGTTACATACATGTTTAGACTCATGTCCTGGTTAGTTGAACACTTTAAAAAATCATATATATGGCCTCCTTTTATCTCTCTCCTACTGATAACTTTTTGCTGTAATGTCTCTTTTTGTCTAGTATCAAAATGGCTTAGTATTTATTTATTTATTTATGTTGGTGGTAGGGGATGGTATTAGTCTCTACTTTCTTTTTCTGATGTTTTATATAAATTCAGGTAAGAATTTTCTTAAAGAGAAAAATCCCCCCACAAATTTAGAAAGAATCAACAAATGTAAGTATATATTTGCAAAAAAGGATTATAACATATGCAGATTTTCATAATACTGGTAATTAAAAACAAGGAAAACAGACCCATGTAAATAGTTACTAAATACATACCAAACCTATCCATAGAGTAGCATTTTAAAGACAAAAAAGCCAGGTATATGCAACTGTAATTCCAGTGACTCTGGAAGCTGAGGCAGGAGGATCAAGATCAGCTGTGACAATTTAGCCAGTCCTGTCTCAAAATAAAAAGGACTGGAATTGTGGCTCAGCAGTAGAGCACTCGCCTAGCATGAGCAAGGCACTGGGTTTGATCCTAAGCATCATATAAAAATAAATAAATAAAAATAAAGGTATTGTGTCCACCTACAACTACAAAAAATATTGAAAAGAAAAATTACTGGGGGATGTAATTTAGTGGTAAAGCACCCCTGGATTTAATCTCCAATAAAAAAGAAAAAAACAAAAACAAAATTCAAACCCCCAAACAAAAGATTATTATTAATCACCTTATTCACATAAATTTGAATTTTGATATATGCATGCATTGTATAGAAAATATAATTAATCTAATTGTTGAATGTAGAAATAGAAAACATGGACAATAATGTGAAAAAATCAATTATCAAAAGTCCACCTAAAAGACACCTATGCTAGATGTTTTCACTATTACAAGTTTATTAGACCTTAAAGTCATAGTTAACTGTAGTCTTCTAAAGGTTTTATAGTTTTATTTTCACATTGACATCCTTTAGCAACCTGGAATGATACTGTTTCACCAAATAGGAAAGAAAGGTTTGTACATATCATTGGTGCCAAACCAGATGAAGGCAGTACAGAAAAAAGATAATTGTAGACAAACTATGTTTATAAACACAGATGTAAAATTACTAAATAGAATCAAAGCAGTTTCAGCTGTATATTTAAAAAAACACAGCTGTATACTTAAAAAAAACAAGGTTGATCTCTAAATATTAAAAAAAGGGTTCACCTTCTAAAGTCTACTCAAGAAATAGGCCATGTTAAAAGACGCCCCCCCATAAATAAATAAAAGCCCCCCAATTCTCTATATAAGATTATAGTTAATAGTTCCATCTATTATGTATGATAGTACCTGTTATTCACATTTTTGCCGACCTATGGTTGTTTCAGATTTTTAAATTTTTGGCATATTTGGTTGATAAATAATTGAATATCCCTGTTAAGTTAATTTGCATTTCTGTGATTTCTTGTAAGGTGATAAACGTTTTTGTTTACCAGCAATTTGTGTTCAACCACACTGAAAGTTTTATATGGAATCACACTTACTGTATAATTTATTTACCCAAATATGAGGCCTGTTTTAGTCATTTTTGTATCTCCAGCATCCTGTAAAATGCTTGGCATGTAGGGAATAGTCAGTGATTAGTAAACATTGAATATTGAGAAGAAATTTGTGATGTAAGCAACCTATTTTTGAATGCCTGGAAATAGAATAGTTTTGCCATGTCAAAGGAATACGATAAGTACAAGGAGCTGAGATTTGTATTCTCACAGGTTCCGGGGGGAAAAACATTTCAGGGGTACTTAATTTATGTTACTACTGTAGGCTCCCATAAAATTTGTGTACCTGGTAATCCTTATTATCTTTAATCTTAATTATTCATGATCTTACAGTATTCATTTGCTTTATGCTTTTAGGGTATATGCTACTACTTCAGGGCAAGATATTATTCATTTTTATTTTGAAAAGACTGTCATCCTTTGTTGCTAACACACTATTTTGACAGTCATATTCTTTTTTTTTTTTTTGTTACTGGGGATAGAACCTGGGGCACTTAACCACTGAGCCACATCCCCAGCCCTTTTTTGATAGTTAGAGGCAGGGCCTTGCTAAGTTTCTAAGGCTGGCTTTGAACTTGTCATGCTCCTGCCTCACCCTCCTGAGTTGCTGGGATCACAGGGGTGCACCACTGCGCCCAGCTGACAATCATATGCTTACCAAAAGGAAATTTTACAGTTTCTTTACCTTGTCTTTTTTTTTTTTTTAAATAGAGCATTGTATTTGTACATAGCATCTGGGTTCCTTTTGACATAATTATACATACAAGGAATTTATTTTCAATCCCTATTTCTCCTTCCTTTTCCTCCCCTACTCCCTCCCCCTTTTCTTTCTCCTCTATTCTACTGATCTTTCTTTCACACCCTTTTTATTATTTTTGATTGATACTTTTTCCATATACATAAATGAGATATTCCTTTTTTGGCCATTTATATTTGTATATAACATGACTCTGTTAGATTTGTTTCTTGTCCCCCCCCATCCCTTTCTCCCTCCCTCTCTTCTACTCCACTGTCTTCTCTATATCTTTATTGTATCAGATCCCCTCCCTGACTACCTTTTCCCCTTAATTTTGCTTTAATGTCCACATATGAGAGAAAACATTTGACCCTTGATTTCCTGAGTCTGGCTGCATGGTTTTCTCCATTTCCATCCATTTCTTGGCAAATACCATTTTCTTAATCCAGTCATATATTTTCGTGTACCTCAATTGATTTCATAATTTAGCTATTGTGGATTGTGTGGCTGTATTGCTATAGTATGCCGATTTTAATTCTTTTGGATAAAGACCAAGGAGTGGGATAGCTGGGTCATATGGTGGTTCCATTCCTATTTTTTTGTTTTTTTAAACAGAGACTTGACATTTATTGCGCAGTTTTATCCCCAGCGGAACATGTGGCATTCTAGAATATATTAGGTAATAAAATCAATACTCCAATGAGACCATTCCTAGTTTTTTGAGGCATCTCCCCACTACTTTCCAAAGCGATCATACTAATTTTCAGTCCCACCAACAATGTTTGAGTGCTCCTTTTCCCCCACATTCTCACCAGCATTTATTATTATTTGTATTCCTGACAATTGCCATTCTTCTGACTGGAGTGAGTTGAAGTCTTAAGTAGTTTTTCTTTTCAGTTTTGCAGTTATGTTCATAGGATTAAAATATCTAGATTTCTGGTCTTTTAGATAAGTAGAATATTGCTTAGAGGAAGATGTATATATAAAAGTATTCTTTAAGAACCAAACTGGGTTATAAAATAGCAGTAGTTTAGTGTCAGTAATGAGGCAGAGGCATAGTTTATATGCTTATAATTTGAGTGTCAGGTTATTTGGAGGGCTGTGTAGTTTGATGAGATTTTACATACTTTTGCTTTTTTTTTGTACCAGGGATTGAACTCAGGAGCACTTAACCACTGAGTCACATCCACAGTCCTTCTTTATATTTTATTTGGAGACAGGCTCTTGCTGAGTTCTCACTGCCTTACTAAGTTGCTGAGGCTGGTTTTGAACTTGTGATCCTCTTGCCTCAGTCTCCTGAGCCACTGGGATTATAGGCATGCACTGTGCTGGGCTATTTTGGCTTAATTCTTAATCATAATTTGAATTTTTATTGTGTAAGTAATACTCATATCTATTGCATATGTAATTTGCATCACATTTCTAAGAAAGTAATTGATGTTGCTCTTTTGTTTCAGCTAAACCATTTACTTCTAAAGTGAAACAAATGCGATTACATAGAGAAGACTTTGAAATATTAAAGGTGATTGGTCGAGGAGCTTTTGGGGAGGTAAGAGATGAAGATTTTATAGAATGTTTGCTAATTGTTTTAGAAGGTGTTTAATACAGTTGTGAGATAATTTAACTGAAATATTTCCTTGCTATTGTAATTGATGTGGTTGATTGGAAAATATAAGTCTTAAATGAAATATTTCTCTATCAGTTGTTTTCTAAGATGTTTCATATGTTAATGTAAATATGATTAATTTTCTGGACTCTTCTTTGGTCTGATTGTGCTTCCTTGTGCTAAACTGTTCTAAATTAGTTTATAGGAACTTTTGATATCTGATAGTACATATGACCTGACTTCTTCCCCCACCAGCCCGTCTCTCCTTCCATTGTATTTTCATATTATTTTGAATCAATTTTTCAATTTCTACTCATTTATAATCTCCCCACCATGCACTGCTGCTCAAATTTGAATTTGTTTTGCATTGAAATTTGAAATCAGTTTGATAATTAAAATCTTAATATTGAGGCAGCTAATCCATGGATATGGTATATTCCTTCATTTATTTAGGGCTCTATAAATTTCAATAAATTTTCAGTCCATATAGAGTATTTCTGCATATTTCTGCATATTTATTCCTGGATGTGTGATATTCTTGATGTTATTTTAATTATAATGGTTTATTAAATTCCATTTACTAATTATTGAAAATATAATTGCAATTAATTGAATCTTATTTATTGCCCTTAGAGCTAGCAATTGTGTTAGTCAGCTTTGCATTACTGTGACCAAAATACCTGGGAAAGTTTATTTTGGCTCACAGTTTCAGAGTGTTATTCCATGGTGGTCTGATTCCATTGCTCTGGGCCCAAAGTGAGGCAGAACATCAGTACATCAGGTAAGGCAGGGGGTGGGGTGGAGAAACTCTGCTTACTTCAAGGCAGCCAGGCCTGGAAGCAGAGTAAAAAGAGGCTGAAGGGCTGCAGGGAAGATGAACCCTTCCAGGGCATGTCCCCAGTGATCCACCTCCTTACCAACTGCTTACAGTTACTCAGTTCGTTCAAAGTAGGATGTTTTGATTAGGCTGCAGCTCTCATAACCCAGTCATTTCACCTCTGAGTATCCCTGCATTAAGATAGTATCTTTTAGGGGACACATCATATCTAAACCATAACATTCTGCTGCTGGCCCCCAAAAGCCCATGTCCATCTCACAATGCAGTGTGTCCCCATAATATTAACAGTTTCAGCATTGCCCAAAAGTTCAAGTCCAAAGTCTTATCTGAGTACTCAAGGCAGACTCTTGGCTGTGAACTCTATCCAAAACAAGTTACATATTCCAGTACACAATGGCACATAATGATTGTTCCATTTCAAAAGAGAAGAAGAGGGTCATAGAAAGAAGGGATGGAACCAATGAAACCAAGCTATGCAAACAAGTCCCACAACTCCACGTACATCATCTAGGACATAGTGGAGAGTTATGCTCTTCAAAGGAGTTGGGTAGTTCCTCCCTTTAGACTTTGCCTATTGCAGCCCACATGGCCTCTCTTTTAGCCTGGCTCTCTCTGCAGCCAGCAACTTTTCTTGGCACACTGTCCACATTACTATAATCTCTTAATTCCTTGGGCCTCTATTCTAGCTTTGGCTTCACCTTCACAGCTTCATGCATCACCCTCTCAAGGGGCAGCCCCGTAGGAATTCTGGCCCTCCTATACTTTGCCTACCCTCTAGGGCTTCTTTGAAATCTCAATAGAAGCTTCCATGACCCCTTAACTTCAGCATCCTACATTCCTGCAGAACCAGCACCACATGCATGCTACCAAGGTCTGCTGTCAGCTTGTACAGTAGCTGAGCCTCCTGGGATCACAGCTTCTGCCACCTCTGAGTGCCTGCCTGCAATGCCAATTATGGTAAAATAACCCCACCCACTTCCCATTGTGAGCAATGTGCCCTCAGGATTTTTTCCTTTAGTTTTCCCTTCTATAACATTGAACCTGTAATGGGTATGCTCTTGCAAATTCCTGTGATGTCCTCAAGACATCTTTCCTGTTGTATCTGCAAAGTACTTAACTTCTCTTTAGTTTCATAATGTCTTTAACAGCACATCTTCCTTTGCCCCTATTTTCCAAACGCTTTTTTGGTCAAAATGTAAGTTTTTTTTTAAAAAAATATAGTTTTAGTTGTCAATTTTATTGTTGTTTTATTCATTCTTTTATATATGATACTGAGAATCGAACCCAGTGCCTCACATGTGCTAGGTAAGCGCTCTACTACTGAGCCATAATCCTAGCCCAAACTGCAAGTTTTTAAGACTGCAAAGTCTTGTCCCACTTGCCTACAGTTATCACCCTGTTAATTCATTCAAGCTAGAATGGACTGATTAGGTTTCAACCGTCATAATCTAATCATTTTACCTCTGAATATTCTTGCATCAATCAACATAGGAGCTTTTGGGGGACACCTCATATTCAAACATAACAAGTTGAGTTGATTATACGTTTTTTTTTAAATATTTTTTTTAGTTGTTGATGGACCTTTTATTTTATTTGCTTATTGTTTATATGTGGTGCTGGGAATTGAACCTAGTGCCTCACGTGTAACAAGGCAAGTGCTCTACCACTGAGCTACAACTCCAGCCCCTTGATTATACTTTTAAAATCATGAATTTTGTTGAATTTTTTTAAAAATATTTTTATTAGTTGTTGACAAATTTTAAAATTTTATTTATTTATTGGTATGTGGTGCTGAGAATCGAACCCAGTGCTTCACACATGTTAGGCAAGTGCTCTACCACTGAGCCACAATCCCAGCCTGAATTTTGTTGAATTTTAATAAAATACTTTTTATCTGCATCATTTGAGACACTTGTATTCTTTTTTCCTTTACTTGGTTATTGTGTTGAATTATACATGTTTATTTATTTATTTTCAAAAGTTGAACAAATAAATTTGTATTCCTAAAATAAGCCCAGCTTCATTATTATCTATTATTATTTTTTAATGTATTAGTGGATTTGATGTGCTGTTGTTTTTATCTGTTTTTCCCCCCTTTGTTAGATTTTTGCGCCTATTTCTTGAGAGAAATTGGTCTGTAATTTTCTTGCTTCAAATGTCCTGATCAGATTTTGGTATCTTGATTATGTTGGTCCCATAAGAAGAGGGAAGTAAGTACTCCCTCTTGTTTTTTTCCTTACATGCTTATAGGTTTTCATTTATGAAGCTATTTGGCTTGGAAGTTGCTGGTTCGACAGTCTAACATAATATATTTAATTTTTAAAAATGGAAACAAGACTACTTTCTGTTATGTGTCAATTTTGATAAGTTTATCTGTATCATTTCATTTTCAAAACTTAATACCATATGGATCATGTGTTGATTCAAATGAACATTTATTAATCTTATTTTTGATTTGTCTTGCTAGGGGCTTATCAGTTTTATTTTCTTTTCAATTAATTAATTTCTGGCTTTTTAGTTTTGCTACTGTGAGCTTGTTTTCTGCTTCATTAATTTCTGCTGTTTAATATTTTCTTCTACTCTTTGGTTTTCAATTACTGTATTTTTTTCTAATTCATTGAAATGGATTAGAACATTGGTTTCTAGCCTTTTTCTTTTATTGGAAACATTATAGCTATTCAGAGTAGTTGGGTTCATTTTGACAAAATCATAACATGCATGGAATTTGATTTCAGTCTTCCATTTCCTGTGTTTCCCCTTTCTCCCCACCTTCTCCTTTATTTTACTGATCTTCCTTACTCTTATTTGTTTGTTTGTTTGTTTATTTATTTAGGTACTGGGGATTGAACTCAGGAGCACTCAACCACTGAGCCACATTCCCAGCCCTATTTTGTATTTTATTTAGAGACCAGGTCTCACTGAGTTGCTTAGCGCCTCCCTGCCTCCCCATTGCTGAGGCTGACTTTGGGCTCATGATCCTCCTGCCTTAGCCTCCCAAGCTGCAGATTATAGGCGTGCACCACCATGTCCGGCTCATTTATTTATTTTTGATTGGTTCTTTCTACTTAAGAATAAAGGTGAAATTCCCTGTGGTATATTTATATATGCAGGGACTATATATGTAAAATGATTTTATTTTTTTATATGTAATATGATTTTGTTAAATTCATTACATAGTTTCTCTCCTTTATCATCCTTGCTCCTTCCTTTTCCATCTCTTTTCTCATACTCCACTGATTTTTCTTGTAGCTTTATGATACCTGATTTTCCCCTCCTTATTTCCTTTATTTTGCTTTACCTTCCACATAGTAGAAAACATGGTTCTTGATTTTCTGCGACTGCCTTGTTCTTTCCATCTATTTACCAGAAAATGCTATAATTTCATTCTTCTTTATGTTTGAGTAAAATGCCATTATGTATATATTCCACATTTTAAAAATCTGTTCATTTATCGATGGTTTATCACCTCATTTTAAATGTACATTTAAGGCTGTGTATTTTTTTCTAAGCAATGTTAGCTACAGCTGACCAGTTTTGATACATTGTATTTTCATTATTGTTTTGCCCCCAAATGCAGTGTCATTTCCAATGCGATTTTATATTTTAAATGTGTTTTGTGTTGCATCTGAGAGTTTAGAAGCTTATTTCTCACTTTTTAAACATTTGGAGGATTTTCATTGAGTTATATAATTTTCAAGTGTTTAGAGGATATATGCTGTATGATAGTAGTCCTTTGAGATTTGCTGTGTACTATTCTATAAATATCAGGTCAAAATCATTAATTTTGCTTAAATTTTTCATTTTCTTTGTGTTTTCTCTTGATCTGTCATTTCCTGAGAGGATTTGCTTTTTTTTTTGGTAATTATTCCTCTCAGTTTTTGCTGATAACAAATAGTTATATCTTTCTGATTAACTCTTTTATCATTATCGTATGGAATGTTCTCTGTAACCTCTATAGTACTTTTTTTTGATAAAAATTTTTAATCTGATATTAATAGAGCCTTGTAATTCTTTATTTTTTATTTTAAAATATTTATTCTTAAGTTTAAATATTTTTATTTTACATTTATGTGGTGCTGAGGATCGAACCCGGGGTGTCTTATGC